CCTCTGCCAAGGCTGGCCCACAGGGCACTCGATGGTGCTGTGCTGCCTCAGCTCTCTTGTCTGTGAAATGGGCATACAACACCTGCCTCTGCTTTGTTCAGGAGTCTGTGGCCCTCGAGGGGCCGGTTGACAGGCTCTGACACCCTCAGATCTCAGGCCTCCGGGGGAGCTCAGACTCAGCATGCTGGAGGGTTTGTGGGCCTGCTGAGATACCCCCTGGCTGAGAGGACAGGAGTGTGGAGCCTGCCCTGGGAACTTGAGAGTCAGAGGGAGGAGGCCTCTGGAGACAGTCAGGAAGTGGCCAGCACCTCCCTGAGCCTGCGGGTCTAGTAGAAGGAGGGAGTAGGGGGAGACCCCTGGGTCCATGGCTGTGGTACAGAGGGGCTGCTTCCAGTGTGCGGAGCTCACTGACTGACCCTGTTTCCTGAGAAGTTGCCCGTGAGGTGCAGAGGGATAGGCACAAACCCACACACCACACTCATAGCCGGTCACACCCGCAGCTCCAGACGCTCACTCACACACACACACACTCACACACACACACACACACACTCACACACAGGGCCGCTCCGCTGCCACACTCACCACGTTCCAGTGCTGATCTTTTTCTCACCATCTGAGACCAGAGGGCCAAGGAGCCCAGATCGTTCCACCCCACAGATCCTTAAGGATAGCTCTGATTTCTGGAGATTGAGGGGGTCTGTGTGCTCAGCACCTTCTCCTGGCTTGGTATAGTCATGATCTCTTCAGGAAGGAGGGTGACCTTGGGGTGAGGGAGTGGCCTGGGTGCCCACCCTCTCTGTGGCTCTGACCACCTGGACCTCAGCAGGCCGCCAGCACTCAGGGAGCCTCAGTTCTCCTCATCTGTAAGGTGTGGGGGTAACAGTGCCTGCCTCCTGGGCTGGTCTGCACATCACATGAGGTAAAGCATGAGCCTCAAGCAGCACTCAGCCAGGGGGTCACCGTCAACCCGTCCGTGGCCACCGCCCACAGTGACACACCTAACCTTCCCCCTGTCACCCGCCAGAGTGCAGGGGGTAGTGGGAGCCCAGGGGCCCAGCACAAAGGGTTGAGGGTGCTGGGGCCGGGTCCACTCGCCACCCCTCATGTCCAAGAGCAGCCGGGACCCCAGACCCCCGGAGCCCCACAGCGCCACCCAGAAAGTCCCCAGATTGACCCTGCTTTTCCCAGTGACTTCCAGGGTTGGGTGGAGAGGATTCGGAATAAACGATGCCTTCCCTTCCCCCAGAGGATGGCAGGTGACTTTCTGAGCCACACACCTGAGACAGTTCCCCATCTTTCTTTGGCAGAGCTGGGGCACGAGCGGGACAGTGGCTCACAGGCCCCGGAATACCCAAGGGGCCATCAGGCAGAGGGGGCGTGGCCTGGACGTGCAGTGGGTGCAGGGCGCTGTGACGTGGCGCCAAGGGTCCATTCTGGATCCAGGGGCAGGAGCTTGCCCGGCTGGGCTGCACTGGGCCAAATCAGGGGACTGCAAGTAGGTAGGCATCCCCGCCCCGCGGGGCCATGGTGACCTGGTGGTAACGGAGACAGGAACACGGTGGGGTGGGGGCTCCCTGTGCAGAAGCAGTGGTAGCGTCCTCATGGTCATTGCCGTATCCTGAGGCTGCCAGGTGGTTATCTGTGTGCATGTCAGAGCCCAAGTCCCATCAAAGCGGAGGCCTCGGGTGAAACGGGTCCCCCCTTTTTATTATGGTACAAGACGCCTGGCCTCAGCATTGAGACACCAGTTTCCCTCCAGCAGGTATCCCTTTCCAGAGAACTTGTAGGGCACCTATTTCCCTCCTTGCACTGGTTCCTGGGGAGCTCAGAGTTTATTTTGCTGGTGCCCAAGCCCCCCGGCAGGCCTTGTGTGCGTCAGTTTCCTTCCTGGCTTCCTCCTATTCCTGACATCTCTGAACCTGCCATCTGGTGAGGAATCGAAGTGGCCCCCAGATTCAAGAGCCTGTGAAGCCGAGCTACTGGGGTGTCCTGGACCCCATGGGTGGTCCAGCCTGAGGGAGCAACAGGGAGGGGGTAAAGGTGGGCAGAAGCTGAGCTGGGCAGTGTGGGGGGAGGAGGGCCTACGGGGGGCGAGGGCCAGGAGCGGAGGGGTTCCAGGCCAGAGCAGGGTTTCCAGGCTGAGGAAAGAGAGGACACCAGGGTGTGGGGGGGTCCCCACAAGGTCAGGGAGGGAGGGCTTATCTGGAGGTCACCAGCCATGGCCGCTCCGACCAGAGAGATAGCAGGGAGTGGGCATGGCTCTGTGCAGGAGGAGGAAGGGGGAAGGACAGGACAGAGGGACTGAGGTTCTAGTGACCAGACTCCTCATGTCCCAGCCAATTTTCTGGGAGATGCCCCAGGGAGACTGTGAGCCTCTCCTCTTGGGCTACTTTCCTACTGGGCGCCTAGGATCCCATGCATCTCACCCTGAAAATCCTGGAGAGGCTGCAAATTAAATATGAGACCAAAAAAAATTAGCAGAGAGCATGATTTCTGATTGACAAAAGGACATTTTGTTGAGAGCTGATTGGGTGCTGGGAGCAGGGCTGGGGATGACAGGCGTGAGCCCTGGCAAGAGCCCCCCAGGTCTGTCGGGAGCATCCCAGTGCCCAAATCAGGGGAGCCCTGGCACCCTCTCTTTGGTCTCAGGCCCTCTGCAGGTTCACCTGTCCTCAAAACTCGCCATCCCACCCCTGAGCTGCCCTGTTCCTGGCTGGCATCAGCCTTGAGACCTTAGAGCTTCTTGAGAAATCCATCTGTCCTCCAGCATCGGTCTGTCTGAGTTCCCCCCCGGGTAACTCTCCCTAGTATCTTCATATAGGGCTTCTGTCTGGCTGGCTTGGTCTGTCTGTCTCTAACACGGTATCCATCTTTCAGGCTCTCCTCCCTTCCAAGGAGAGGCTTCTTGCCTCACAGTCCCAGCCAGGGAGACCCCAGGATTCCAGGGAGGAGCTTAACCTTTAACCAGGAGGCCATGGGGAACCATGGGCAATGGGCCCCAAGACTGCTCGGGGCGGACATGGTGCACACAAGAAGGATAAATATAGGGAGGGAGCAGAGGATGGGCTGTCCTGTCCTGCTGGCCTACCTTCTATTCTGGAATATTCTCTGGGCTATTCTGGGTAAGAATGAAACTACCCCATAAGAAAAACTGAGGATTCCTACTATCCCAGAGGCCAGAGGAGATGTCAGCTGGAGAAGGAGCTCTGAGTCACAGCGAGGAGGGGCGTGGCGGGGGGCGGTTACTGGAACTGGCGCATCCTGTCCCCACCAGGTGCTTCAGAGCAGGAATAGGCTACAGGGGGTGAGATGGCCAGAAAGAAGGTGAAGTTTCCAGAATGTCAGAGCGATTCAGATCCCAGTCCTAGACTGAATGGAAAGGAGAGAAATTCAAATCCAAATTTCACTTTGGTCCCCAAAGAGAGAGAAAGCACAGTCAACTGGGTCCCTCCACTGAACACATAACACGGTGATACAGCCTTGAACACAACTCTCTGTCACCTCTGACACACCCCCACTTCCTGACCCAGGCCCACCTGCGGGTGCTTGGGAGTCTCATAGTCCAGCCTCCTCTTTGTGGGGGCTGGTCTGGCCCATGGGAGTTTGAGAGGGGGCCCCCTCCCCCCCTGCATCTTCAGTTCCTTGTGGGGTGAGCTTCCCCACATCCTCAGCCATGGAGGGGTAGGAGGGAATGTCTGAGTGATGTATCACATCCCCGGTAACTTCCTGGAAGGAGCTTGGTCTGTGGCTCAGCTTGCTTGGGGAATGTCACCTGGAAGAACTGACAGTCCTGTTTCCAACACAGACATGATGGGGCCTGTGCCCTCTGCTGAGCTGGGGCCCATGGAGGGTTCTGGATGCTACCACATGTCCTAGGCACAGGCCCCACATGGCCGTGTGTACAATAGCACGCATGCGTGTCTACTAGCGTGTGCATGCAACTTGATCGCGTGTGTGTACGTGTCCAGTCTCTCTGTGGGACGCGGAGCCCGGACCCACCATCCTGAGCTAGCTCCCAGCACAGCAGTCTTCCTGGTTCTCAGGGCCCATTCCCAACTCCTAAGAAGGTGAACCAGTTCACAGTCCACAGTTGTCCAGGGCGCAGTCCGGAATGTAAACTTGACATTGACAGTGACTACCCATGGACATTTTGGGTTAGTGCTTGTGGTGGGTCAGTGATGGATTGGACTCTACAGGGTCCCTGCCTCCCAAGGACCTTGAATACAGCTGGACCCCCCATGACACACGTGGGAGGAGGAGCCCTCAGTGGGAGTGTGAGATTGAGTGACTAGGGTCCAGGGACTGAGGGTCCTGTAGTGAGTGTGACAGAGACGTCTGTGGGAGGGGCAAAGGACAGTGTCACTAGGGAGGCAGGAGCAGGGGGACTGCTAAGAAAGAGGGGATACTCTAGGCTATGATGATGGGGAAGGTCCATATGGGGTAGGAAACCAGAGAAAACATGGCGTCGAGTGGGGGCCTACCAGGAAAGGAGAGTAAACATCTCAGGAGAGAGCTAGTCCCTGACGGTGAGGCCCCAGGTCCAAGGAGGAGCTCAGACATTATCCAGGAGTCCACAGGGAACCAAGAGCAGTGGGCTTTGGTACTGCTGGTGACTGACGTGGTCCATGCATGAAAAGTAAGCATAGAGACATGGTGGAGGATGGCCTATCTTGGTTCTTCTGTTGGTATCTCCTGTTCTGGAATATTCTCTGGCAATTCTGGGTGAAAGTAAAACTACCCCTTGCAAAAACATGACGATGCCTTCTGCTGACTCCTTTCCCAGAGGGTGAAAAGAATTGTGTTCACATTTGAGGATGGTTGAGTTCAGGTCAAAAAGTGTTAGAAGCGCAATGAGCAGAGAGCACGATTTCTGATTGAATAAAGGACATTTTATTGAGTGTCGAGTGGGTGCAGCGAGAAGCGCTGGGATGACCTTGGTGGGAGGGCAGATCCTCCTGGAGGTCCTGTGTCTCCAGGCCCCCTTGGGTGAGGGGGACCTAAGAGCACTCTGCGGGGACCACCTTCTTCTCCACAGTGCTCCCCTCATGTGTGACCAGGCAGCTGACGCTGCTGTATGATTTCCACTTGTCAGGCGACAGGCTCAGGTAGCTGCTGGCCGCGTACTTGTTGTTGCTCTGTTTGGAGGGCTTGGTGGTCTCCACGCCCTGGGTGACATTGCTGCCGTCTACCTTCCAGGCCACCTTCAAGCTGCTGGGGTAGAAGTCACTGATGAGGCACACCAGGGTGGCTTTGTTGGTGCTGAGTTCCTCAGAGAATGACAGGAAGAGCATGACCAAGGGCGCAGACTTGGGCTGACCTGTGTGGACAGAGGAGAGAGAGATGCAGGGAGAGTCCCGGTGTTGGGCAGCCCTTCCCTTATCTACAGCCTCTGTGACTGCTCCCATGGTGGCCATGTTTGTTCACCCAGGGGATCCTCCTTACCACTCCAGCCCTGGACAGCAGGCAGCCCCCCATGCTCCCAGCAGGTCTTCCATGTCACCTCTCCCAGATGTGTGAGAGGTGCATCTACAGCCTCAGTTTCCTTCTCAGCCCAGCATGTGGGCCCCATATCACTTCATTCTTCTGGATCCAGGTGCTTCCCCTGTGAACTGGAGTCCTTTACCCAGCCTGCCAGGACAACTCTGATGGTATGTATGGAGGTCCTGAGCCCTGCATCCGGTGGGGCAAGGAGCCCCTCTCCCCCTCAGGAATAGGTCTCTCCCTGCCTCCTGGGAAGGCTGGGTACTCCAAGGCTCTGCCATCTCCCATATCTCTCCTGCCCTGACCACAGGACCCTTCACTTCTGCAGCTTCTTGGGGCTACTCCCTGCAGACGACAGGCAAGGTGGCCCCATGGCCACCTCAGCACCTCTGATGATTCCTGACTTTAAGGGGCAGCTGTGTATATCTCTGAGCCCCCACTCACTCCCCACTTTGTCATCTTCTGAGTCTAAAGTACCCTTTGAGGAAGGCAGGAGGCCACCCCTTGGACAGGTGAGACACCTGGGGGTTATGGGGCTCCAGGGACAGGTAAGACTCTGCCCCATGGTACCTGCTCCCTTCTGACCAACATCCTAGGAGGGGTGTGTTTCTGGTCACCTTGCCCTGCTTCGCTCGTTTCTCTGTCCCCATGTCCCCACGGCCTAGCAGAGGCCCTCAGCACTTCAGCCTAGAGCAAACCAGACTGTTCTGTCCCCCTCCCATGGGCCTCCCCTTGGGCTACCCCTCTGTGTGCCCAGAGGCTGGGCTCACAGCCCCAGCCATGTCTCCAGCCTCCTGTGTGGTCCTCCTAGCCTGGATGGGCACCAAGCAAGCAGCCAAGACCCCAAGGGACTCTCTAAGGCTAACCCAGTGCCCCAGTCAGAACTAGCCTTGGACCCCACACAGGTGTCTGCCCTGGAAGAAGGGAAGGAGCCCCCATTTTTGGATCATCCACCCCCAGCCTAGGGCCCTGGAATCTGGACACATTCAATTGTCAGATTTTAAAGGTAAATGCTTGTACCATTGGGGTCCTTCCTGCTGGTTTCCCCGAGACCAATCCACTTCCCCCAGATCCCACAGATCTGCTAGAAGGTCAGTCCTTAAGGCTGGGAGGGCAGACAGGGAGCAGCCCCCAAAGAAAAGTAACTTTCTCAAGACAACAGAGGAGTGGGGCAGGTTGGGAAATGTGGTGAGAGCCACTTACCTAGGACGGTGAGCTGGGTTCCTTCACTGAAAACAAACCAGGGTGACTGAGTTTCGGGCCAAAACCCACCGGGCCAGCACCTGGGGCCTGCCCCCCGGGGGCCAGGCCAGAACAGGAACCTGTGATGGGCATAAGGCTGTTGCAGGTGGGGCTGGGCAGCCAGCCTCCTAGAGGCTGTGGCACACCTGGATGAGCCCACAGCCCAGAGGTGTCCCCATGCCCAGCCCCCTGATTGAGGCAGACTGTACCCATGTCTTGTATATTTCCCCCCTTTCCAAGGCTGTCCTGGTCACCTCCTAATCCTCAGTGCTGATGGTGACACTGCATGGAGTAGGTGTTTAGTAAATCTCTGGGTGCCTCGTCCTCTCATGTGGTGTGGCAGAGCGAGTCCTGACCTGGCTTGGACCTGCCTGATGGTCTCATTTAGAGCTTCTGTGGGTTCCTCTCCTACTATTTCCCATGGTCCAGCCAGGTGGCTTCCCTCCTGGACCTACTGGTTGGTCTGGGACCGGGTCATTCCTGACTCATTGTACTCCCATGTGAAGACCCCTCACTTTTTCTCTACACATCAAGACACAATGCAATCCCACCTCTTTGATGAAGCTTTCTGTGCTCTCTGAGACCACTGGTTTTCTGTCCACCTGTCTGTGCATCTGTCCATGTGTTCATCCATCCATCATCCATCATCCATCCATCCATCCATCCACTCACCCATCTATCCATCCGAAAGTAGCTCCAGGCACTGTTTCATATGCTGGGACATGGAGGGCCTCCCTGGCTTTCATCTCCATCTCTCCCTGAAAGCTCTCAAGTCAGGGCCAACAAGTCCCTCTTCCTGGGCAGTTCCCCAGTTCCTGTTGTACATTATGTCTTTACAGGATGCAACATAGAGTCAGCCTCTGTTTTCAGTGACTCTCTTCCTGTTGGCATCTGAGGCCTCCCACTCTCCTCCCCTGACTTCTCTTTCACCCCTGCCCATGCATAGCAGCTGACTCCCAGATCGGCACCCTGAGTCCTCCTTCTTTTCCATCTTCCTATATTGTGGATTCCCACTACTGCCCATTTGGTGAGGCTCAAGTCTAGTTCAGCTCTAAATCCTCTCCTTGACTCTCCCTAAATCGCCTACTGACCATCTCCAGCTGGATGTTCAACAGGAATCTCAAACTCACCATATCCAAGTGAGATTGACCACCTTCCCCCCCAACCCAGCTCTTTTTCTGTCTTCATCTTGTCACACATGACCAAGAATGCTCTCACTACCCAACCCTCAGGCCAGACCTGTAGCTTCAAAGCATTCCCAATCAAATTCCCAGCAAATTATTTTGTTGATATTGGCAAACTGATTCTAAAGTTTATATAGTGGGGCAAAGGACTCAGAATAGCTAACACAATATTGAAAGGAAAGGACAAAGTTGGAGAAATGACACCACAAGTCTTCGAGACTTACTATAAAGCTACAACAATCAAGACAGTGTGGTATTGACATAAATACAGACCAATGGAATAGAACAGAGAGCCCAGAAATAAACTCTCACACATACAATGAAATGATTTTTGACAAGGGTGCCAAGACCATTCAATGGGGAAAGGACAGTCTTATCAATAAATGGTGCTGGGAAACATAGATATTCACGTGCAGAAGAATGAAGTTGGACTCTTACCTAACACCGTATACAAAAATAAACTCAAAATGGATGCAAGGCATAAATATAAGAGCTAAAACAATGAAACTCTTAGAAGAAAACATAGGACAAAAGCTTTACAACATTGGCTTGGCAGTGATTTCTTGGATATGACACTGAAGGCACAGGCAACAAAAGAAAAACTAGACAAGTTGGATTTCATGAAAATGTCAAAACTTTGTATATCAAATGATGTTATCTACAGGGTAAAAAGGCAACCCACAGAATGAGAGAAGATATTTGCAAATCATATATTTAATAAAAGGTTAATATCCAGAATATATAGGGAACTCCTAAAACTCAACAAGAAAAAAAACAAACAATCCAATTCAAAAATGGGCAAAGGACTTGAACAGGCATTTCTCCAAAGAAGATATGTAAATGGCCAATAAGCACATGAAAGATGCTCAATATTACTAATCATTAGATAAATGCAAATTAGGACTACAATGAGATACCACCTTACACTCATTGGGATGGCTACTATTAAAAAAACAAACTAGGAGGGCGCCTGGGTGGCTCAGTTGGTTAAGCGACTGCCTTCGGCTCAGGTCATGATCCTGGAGTCCCAGGATGGAGTCCCACATCGGGCTCCCTGCTCAGCAGGGAGTCTGCTTCTCCCTCTGACCCTCTCCCCTCTCGTGCTCTCTATCTCTCATTCTCTCTCTCAAATAAATAAATAAAATCTTTAAAAAAAAAACCAAACAAACCAGGAAACAAGTGTTGGTAAGGATGTGGAGAAATTGGAAACCTTGTGTAATGTTGGTGCACAAATACCGCATGATTCCACTTATGTGAGGTATTTAGAGTAGTCAAAATCATAAACAACACAGTCTTAAGTTACCAGTGGGTCAAAGAAGAAACTACAAGTGAAATTAAAAGATACTTTGAGTTGAATGAAAAGAAAACCCAACACACTAAAACCTATGGGATTCAGTGACAGTGGTGCTCTAAGGAAAATTTATAGCTATAAAAATGTCTTTATTAAAAAAGAAGAAAAATTTCAAACCAATACTTAAGTCTACCTTAAGGAAATAGAAAAAGAAGAGCAAGGTAATTCCAAAGCTAGCAGAAGGAAGGAAATAATAATGATTAGAGTAGAAATAAATGAATTAGAGAATAAAAAACAATAAGGAGAACCAGTAAAACCAAAAGCTGGTTCTTCGAAGTTTAGCAGCTTTGAGAAATCTTTACCAGACTGACAAATACAAAACAGAGAAGATTCCAATTATTAAAGTCAGAACTGGGGCGCCTGGGTGGCTCAGTCAGTTAAGCATATGCCTTGGGCTCAGGTTATGATCCCAGGGTCCTGGGATCAAATCCCACATTGTGCTCCCTGCTCAGCAGAGAGTCTGCTTCTCCCTCTGCCTCTGCTGCTCTCTCTGTCAAATAAATAAATAAAATCTTTTAAAAAAAAAGTCAGAACTGGAAGTGGGACATTATTACACACCATGTAAAGTTGAAAAGGATTATAGGGAAATAATATGAACAATGGAATACCAACAAATCAGGTAACCTAGTTGAAATGAACAAATTCTTAGAAATACACACACAACCTAAACTGACTCAAAAAGAAATAGAAAACCTGAACAGGCCTATAATAACTAAAGAGATTAAAATGGTAATCAAAATCCGTTCCCATAAAGAAAAGCCCAGGACAAGAAGGCTTCACCAGAAAATCCTACCAAATATTTTTATGTATGCGTGTGTGTATGTACAAAATATTTATTATTAAAGATTTTATTTATTTATTTATTTATTTATTTATTTATTTATTTAGAGAGTGCATACAGGCACATGAGCGGGTTGGGGGGGGAGAGGGAGAGAGAGAGAGACTCTCAAGCAGACTCTGCCCTGAGTGCAGAGCCTGAGGTGGGGCTCGATCCCATGACCCTGAGATCATGACCTGAGCCAAAACCGAGAGTCGAACACTTAACCGACTGAGCTACCCAGGCACCCCTGTACCAAATATTTAAAGAAAATTTAACACCAATCCTTCACAAGCTCTTCTGAAAAATAATAAAGAAAGGAACACTTCCTAACTCATTCTTTGAGAATTACCCTGATTTCAAAACCCAACAAAGACATCACAAGAAAACTACAAACCATCCCTTATGAATACACATGCAAAAATGCTCAATAAAATACTAGAAAAGTGAATCCAACAGCATATTGAAAGAATCATACAGCAAGTGGGATTTATCTCAGGAATGCAAGGGTGGTTCAGCTTAAGAAAATCAATCAACACAACATATCATAATAATAAAATGAAAGATGATAGCCATGTGATCATCTCGATTGATGCAGAAAAATATTTGACAAAATTCAACACAATTTCATGACAAAAGACTTAAAAAACCTGGAGTAGAACGGAACTTCCTCAACTTTATAAAGACCATCTATGAAAAATCCACGTTGAACATCATATTCATTGGTGGAAGACTGAACGCTGTCCCCTCAAGTTCAGGAACAAGACAAGGATGCCTGTTTTTGCCCCTTCAGTTCAATACTGTACTGGTGAATGGCTAAACAAAATGTAATACATTGAAAAACAGAATACTTCTCAGCAATAGAAAGGAACAAGCTATTGACGAATGGAATAACCTGGGTGAACTTCAAAGGCATTATACTGAACTAAAGAAGCCAGACTCAAAAGGTTCTGTACTTGGAATATTATTATTCAGTTATAAAAAAGCAACAAACAATGATTCACCCAACAATCTGAACGGACATCCAGAAAATTAGGCTGGGTGAAAAACGCTAATCACCAAATGTTACAAACTGTATGATTCCATTATAGGACAGTCTTGAAATGACAAAATTAAAAATGAAGGCCAAATTAGTAGTTGCCAGCGGGTAAAGAAAGTGATTGGAAGGGACGGAAATGGGAGTGGCAATAAATGGCAAGATGAGGAATCTGTGGTGAGGGAAATGTTCTGTGCCTTAACTATATCAATGTCAATACCCTGGTTGTGATATTTTACTACAGTTTTATGAGGCATTACCATTGGGGGAAACCAGGTGAAGGGGACATGCGGCCCCTTGTATTGTTTCTTACAATCACATGTGAATCTACAATGATTTCAAAATAAAAAGTTTAATTTACAGAAAGGTTATATACCGCACTATTCCATTTATATGATAGTCTGGAAAAGGCAAAACTATAGGGTCCCAGAGAGATCGGTGGTTGCCATGGTTGCGGCAGAGAAAGGGACTGGTTACAAAAGGGACACAAGGAAATTTTGGCGGGTGATGGAAATGTTCTCTATCTTGATTGTGGTGGTAGTTACATGACTATGATTTTATTAAAATTTATACAACTACTATACCAAAAAGAGGGAATTTTACTCTGTATAAATTAAAGTAAAATAAAAATAGAAATCTTCATTATGTTACTATAGTCACTATATATATGTATATATGCATATATATAATGCATTTATTCTTTTCCACGGATATACCATAGTTTATTTTACCTTCTTTTTTTTTTTTTTTTCCACGGAGAGGGAGCTATGTCAAAGCCCCAACTGTTCTGGCCTCTTTACTGCAAGAAGGGCCGCTGCGGAGTCCAGAGGTCCAGAGTGGCAGCTGACCCTTGTGGGTCAAAGGCCAGGAAAGGGGTCAATGAGCAGCTATTTCCTTTCCTGTCCATATGGGGGCTGAAACAGTGGCCATCGGTACAGAGAACTAGTGCCCGAGTGAGGGGCAGGCCAAGGTCCATAGAATAGCCACAGGAAAATTCAGCAAACCAGGCTAAAAGAAACTCAGACGCCCTGACCACCCTCTGTGGTGCCAAGGTGGGGAGGGGGGAAGCCCAGCCCCCTTCCACCAAAGCATTTCTGCTTGTTATCTGTGGTACAGGTGTGTGAGCTTTCACTTGAGAAGGGGGTTCGTTTCTTACAAAAAGAGACTCACTGGCCTAATCTTCTGGTTCCCAAAGTGTGGTCCCTGGACCAGCAGCATCTGCATTACCTGGAATTTGTTAGAAATGCAAATTCTCAAGCCTCATCCTAAACCATATGAATGGAAACTCTGGGGGCGGGGGCCCAACAACGTGTGTTCCAGCAAGCCCTCTCTATATGACACTGAGGCCCACTGAAGCTTGAGAACCGCTGACCTAGTCCAGGTGTGTAGGAAACCGAGTCCTAGTTGTGGGTCAGGGGCAGGGCTGTGAAAGTAACACGTCTCCCAGTCTCGGAACTCAGAGCATCTGGGGGCCACCCCTGGCACAGGCCCCCTCTCCTTCCCCTTCTGCCTCCCCTCCCAGGTGCCATGCTGCTGCTCCTGCCGGGCCCTGGGGCCGGCTCCGGGCTTGACGGAGCTGCGCTTGGCCTTCTCGGCCTCACGCACCACCTCCCTGGAGGATTCCCACCCTCAACCACCCAAGTCTGGTCATGTCCTTTCCTTGCAAACATTCCCCAGGGTGCCCCAGATGAAGTCTGTCCTCCAGGGATGGGTCCTCCATGTCAGGGGCTGGTCACCTGTTCAGCCTTCTCTCAGACCATCTTGGCCCCAGTACCCACTCGTTCCAGCCCCCGGACCACTGGGAGCTTCCTGAGCATTCTGTGCCTGTACCACCTCTCCACTGTCCTTGTGTGTGGTTGCTGCTTCACCAGCCCCCTCTCCCGCTGGACCTTGAATTGGGGCCAAAGCTTACTCCCCTGGGATCCCAGCCCCAGCACAAGGCCTGAAACCCCATGGGGGCTCCATCTCTCCTTGTGTTTCCCTGGGCCCTGCCAGACGCTGAAATGCTAGTCCTTGCCCGACACCCACAGGTGCTGACCCACCCTTCATGGCTGGCCTGCTAGTACAGAACAGAAGCATCTCATCCTGTTCCAGCCCTGCACCATGGCAACCCCAGCATCCTTGGGGTGGGTGTCAGGCTACAAGGCCCTCACCCGACTAGAACCCCTCGTTTTGCAGGTAGGCAACTGAGGCTGGGAGAGGCAGACTTGTCAGCCCCACAAGTTAGGAGATGGGGGTGGGAAGACCTGGAAGCCATCAGGCTTGCGTGTTGGAGTCTGCACTGGCTGTGTGACATTGGGCAGGTCCCCTCAGCTCTCTGGACCTCTATCCTCATCTGTAAAATGGGGATGATAGCAGGCTCTGCCTTGTGGGGCTGCTGAGGCACGTTCTGCCCCTAAAGTGATCAGTGCCCACAATGAACGTGCTGTTGTGTCACTCATTATCATAAGTGGACCCAGATGCTCGGCACTTAGTCCAGGGACTTCCCACCGCACACAGAGAGGAGGGGGCTGGGGTCACTCAGTAAGTGGTGGCAGACCGTGGCCCCCACAGACCCTCGCAGGGGCCTTTCCCATGGAGGCGCTTGCACGCTGGGTGGGCTTGAGTTTTTAGGGGGTCAGTCACAGGAAGTGGCCCTGGCTGAAGGTCCTTGGCTGAGGGTCCAGTGACCTGGGGACAGGAGAGAAGGCCCACTCTGATGTAAGAAGCATTGGCTGGAGGGGCGCCTGTGTGGCTCAGTCAGTTGAGCGGCTGCCTTTGGCTCGGGTCGTGGTCCCAGGGTCCTGGGATGGAGCCCCACATCGGGCTCTCTGCTCCGCGGAGAGCCTGCTTCTCCCTCTGCCTCTGCTGCTCCCCCTGGCTTGTGCTCTCTCCCTCTGTCTTTCTCTCAAATGAATAAATAAAATCTTTTTTCAAAAAGAAAAGAAGCATTGGCTGGAGCCTGTACCCTAGTGCTCCAGGGGGTGGCCCCTGCCCAGCAGGGGAAGGGCAGGGAGGTGGCTCATCAGCTAAGAGGAGGCGGCCTTGGCACCCTGGCCCAGTCACAGCACCTACCACCCACGTGGGCATCCTGCCCCTGCCTCCTGTTTCTTCCCTGCCCAGAAGACCAGGGTGAGGTGAGTGAGGCACTAGCCTTGGGTGCAAAATTTAGGAGTGCCAAAAAGCTCAGTAACTAAGACAAATAATGTATTAATACAATGCTAAAACAAATGAATACAAATGAAGACACCCTGGCCAAAATGTCCACACTTTAAATAAAGCCAGTGTCTGTCCAGGACTCCCCCCTTCTCACTGATTCTTCTTTGTCCTTCTTGTGCCCCGCATAGCCCCTCTGTGTCCCAGTCTCAGTTCTGGCTGCAGAGACCCTCTCCTCCCTCACCTCCAGGACTCCTTCAGTCCCTTACCTGTCCCACAGGCTCCGAGAGCTGCTTCCTGCTGGGGCTCCAGGGTCTGGGGTGCTGTTCGGTGGGGCTACTGTCACCGGGGGCAGCCGACCATGGGCACCCACAGCCAAGCCCAGCAGCAGCAGGGGCCAGCATGGCTTGGGGCCAGGGCTCTGCCCCCAGGGGGCCTCAGAGCCCACCTGACCTGTCCCTGGCCTCATTTGCCCTCAGGGTCAAAGGACCTGCAGGTTTGAGCTCCCTGGAGGAGAGTCAGTAGTTTCCCCCGTCCTTCTTGCTGGCAGTGGCTATCCCAGTGTTCCCTGGTCCAAGTGGCCCGGTCCTCTGCCTGAACCTTCTCTCCAAGGCCCATGGTTGTTACTCCGGGGGGCTCTCTCCCAGTGGGCCATTGGCCAACTGCCCTGCTGTGGTCAGGATCCAGAGCTCAACCGTCTCCCACCACAGCTGCAAGCCTGGTCTTGCCCCTGGGGCCCTGGGTGGGCCACACCTGCTCCTGCCTTCCTTCTCAGAGGGCACTTGGGTCTGTGGAGCCTCTCCCCTGGGACTGGAGAGGCCATGGAGGCAGCGAAATGCCAGTGGGGCAGGAGTTGCCTGCGCTCAGTGGGCCGGGGCTGGGGCTGCTGTTCTGACCAGCCTGGGGAGAGGGTTGGTGACAGGGGAGGAAACAGGTGTCGTTAAGCAGGAAGCCGATGTTCAAGTTCGGGAATCATGATACAATTATAAAAATAGTGTTTAATGCCCCATGTCCAGCACCTCATGGGTGTCATCTCTCTCTCTGACACACACACACACACACACACACACACTCTCTCACACTTACACCCTCACACCCTCATAGATTTTATCCAGAGGTCATCATCATGAGCATAGCGTCAGCATACTGCACACAGTAAGGGTTTCTGTGAGACCCCTTTCCCATCTCCCTGAATGCCCACGCACTGTCCATCCGGAAACCCACTTTGGTGTGGGGTGAGCAGCGGCAATGAAGAGTGACCGAGCCCCCGCATGGGGTGACAAGAGCCTGGCTCTGCGCTGGCACTCCCGGGAGGGATGCTCTGGTCACCTCTGGGGCGTCCAGGCGTCTGGGAGGTGGGGCTGGCAGCAACTGCCGGCTCTGCTCATTTTCAGGACCATGGCGAGGTCCAAGTTGGGAGAGAATGGATGCGAAGCTGCTTCTTTGCCCTTTAGTTTTTTTAAAACTGTGGTAAAATATACGTAAAATGACATTTGCAACTTAGCCATTTTTAAGTGTACAATTCAGTGGCATTAAGCACATTCACACTGTTGTGCAAGCCTTACCACCGTCCCTCTCCAGAGCTTGTTCATCTTCCCAGACTGAAACCCTGTCCGCTTGAAACACTAACTCACCATTCCTCCTCCCCCAGCCCCCCCGCACCCACCATCCTACTTTCTGTCTCAGTGAATCTGACTCTAGGGGCCTCGTACACGTGGAATCATATAGTATTTGTCCTTTGAAGATGCTTTTTAAAGATTTCATTTTATTTCTTTATTTTGGGGGGGAGGGGCAGAAGGAAAGAGAATCTGAAGCAGACCCTGTGCTGAGCATGGAGCCGACCTGGGGCTCGATCTCATCACCAGGAGATCACAACCTGAGCCGAAACAAAAGTCAGGCACTTAACTGACTGAGCTACCCAGGCGTCCCTGAATGTGCTTTTTTTTTTAAATTTAAATTCAATTAATTAGCATAATGTATTAATGGTTTCAGAGGTAGAGGTCAGTGATTCATCAGTCTTATACAACACCCAGTGCCCATTACATCACATGCCTTCCTTAATGTCCATCACCCAGTTACCCCATCCCCCCACCCACCTCTCCTCCAGCAACCCTCAGTTTGTTTCCTATAATTAAGAGTCTCTTATGGTTTGTCTCCCTCTCTGATTTTGTCTTGTTTTATTTTTGTTCTCTTCCCCTATGATCCTCTGTTTTGTTTCTTAAATTCCACATATCAGTGAGATCACATGATAATTGTCTTTCTCTGATTGACTTATTTTGTTTAGCATAATATCCTCTAGTTCTAACCACATCATTGCAAATGGCAAGATTTCATTTTTTTGATGGCTGAGTAGTATTCCTATATATATATATATATATACACCCCATCTTCTTTATCCATTCATCTGTTGATGGACAACTGGACTCTTTCCATAGTTTGGCTATTGTGGACATTGCTGCTATAAACATTGGGGTGCAGGTGTCCCTTCAGATCACTACATTTGTATGTTTGGGGTAAATACCTAGTAGTGCAATTGCTGGGTCGTAGGGTAGCTCTATTCTCAACTTTTTGAGGAACCTCCATACTGTTTTCCAGAGTGGCTGCACCAGCTTGCATTCCCACCAACAGTGTAGGAGGGTTCCCCTTTCTCTGCATCCCTGCCAACATCTGTTGTTCCCTGACTTGTTAATTTTAGCTGTTCTGACTGGTATGAGGTTGTATCTCACTGTGGTTTTGATTTGGATTTCCCTGATGCCGAGTGATATTGAGCATTTTTTCACCTGTCTGTTGGCCATTTGTGTGTCTTCTTTGGAGAAATGTCTGTTCATGTCTTCTGCCCATTTTTCTTGATTGGATTATTTGTTCTTTGGGTGTTGAGTTTGATATGTTCTTTATAGATCTTGGATACTAGCCCTTTATCTGATATGTCATTTGCAAATATTTTCTCCCATTGTGTCGGTTCTCTTTTGGTTTTGTAGACTGTTTCCTTTGCTGTGCAAAAGCTTTTTATCCTGATGAGGTCCCAATAGTTCATTTTTGCCTTATTTCCCTTGCCTTTGGGGACATGTCTAGCAAGAAGATGCTGCAGCTGATGTCACAGAGGTTGCTGCTGCCTGTGTTCTCCTCAAGGATTTTGATGGATTCCTGTCTCACATTTAAGTCTTTCATCCATTTTGAGTTATTTTTGTGTATGGCGAACATGCTTTTTATTTTTTATTTTTATTTTTTTAAAGATTTTATTTATTTATTCATGAGAGACAGAGGGAGAGAGAGAGAGAGAAGCAGAGGGAGAAGCAGGCTCCCAAGGAGCAGGGAGCCCGATGCAGGACTCGATCCCAGGACCCCGGGATCATGACCTGAGCCGAAGGCAGACGCCCAACCATCCGAACCACCCAGGCGCATGCTTTTTAAACGGAGAAGTACAACGAGCATAACACATATGGAGGATGGCTGTTATGATAACATTTCTTATTGCTGTTATTGTTAGTGTGGCCACCAGCTGGTCCGTCTGGTGGGGCCAAGAAAAACATCACCAGCTATCAAAAAATAAATGAAACCCTAGTTTCATTATATATATATATATATCAACTGTCACTTTTCAAGGTTTGTCTTGTAACTCAGAGGGTTGTGACAGCAGTTCAGTGGGTTGCAACTAGCGTTTTGCAAAAGTGAAGTAGCCTAGAGTAGAGCGCCCCGTGCAAGGAGAGGGGTGGTGACAGTTCATGGGATTTTGCTTCAGTAATTGAAATACATAGATGTACTCTGGATGATGATGGGAAATACATTTCTTACTGGGAGTTTTGATGGGAAAACTTGTGGAAAACGCTGTCTAGCAACACACTAGTTCAGCTGTGCGTGCCAGCAGAAGCTAGTTGTCAGATCCACCCTGCCCTTCACGGTTGGCTGACCTGGAGTTCAGGTTTGAAACCACCCTTTGTTTTAGGTCCTCTGTCCCAGTGTGTCCTGGAGCAGTGTGGTCCTGGTGGCTTGTCCATCTTTGTGAGGCTCCCCCCTAGGGTCTCCCAGAGTGAATTTCGTGGGTGCCATACGCCCTAGTGGAACCAGGCCAACCCAGGTGCTCCCTTGGCATCTGTCCAGCCACGGTGCTGGGATGCTGTAACAGACAGACATACTGACTTCCTCCTATCTCATGGAGCTCATGTGGGCCACAGAAAGGTTGGACTCCATGGAGGATTGCGACATTGCTCAGATCCTTGTGTCCCACACTCAGTGACCGATCATCCCTGAGGGCCAGGCACTGCATCCTGGATAGCTCAGGGTCAACAGGGAGATGGGCATGGTGCGGAACAATAACAGGGGCCAGCACCCTAGCAGACGTCATACAGGGGACAGGGGCAGACTTTGGGAGGCCCCTGATTCAGCCCGGTTTTTCCTCATTGTGATGCTGGGCCCACTCCTGCCTCTAACCTTGGGCTTCCGGCACCTTTGGAGCTGGGGACGGATCTGTCCCAGGGGTCCAGACTGAAGCTGCTCCCCCGCCCAGCACCCCTGTGAGGGTGTGACACTTACCCACTGCCCAGGGTTCAGAAGCTGTGGTTCCACCTGGAACAGCCCCAGGTCTCAGGGAGAAGGAGGGGCTGGACCTAAACTCAGGGACCCCGGTTGCCCTGCCACAGCCTCTGGACAGCCACAGGGGATACTGGATGCTGGAGGAAGGAGCTGGCTCCCAGGAGGGGCAGCAGCAATCAAGGAAGCAGGGCTGCAAAACTCCAGTCGGAGGCTTGGTCAGGATGTCAAAATAGCCCAGACTGAGTAGGAGGGAAGGGGTGTGCAGTTTAGAACCCAGTGGCGCCAGAGACCAAGGGGAAGTGACTTCTCTGCTTGCCCACATGTGTAGTTTGAGTGCAAGCCTCTCAGCAGGTGAGGTTGAACCAGATGATGAGGGCTAAGGACGTACTTTCTCAGACTTCGATGGGCAGAGAATACCAGGGACCTTGTGAAAATGTGGATTCACATTCAGCAGGTCTGGGATGCCCCAGAAACGAGGCATTTTTTTTTTTAAACAAGCTCCCAGGCGGTGCTGTGGCAGCCGCCAACATACGCACCACACTTTGAGTAACAAGGTGCAAATGCAACTCTGTACTGCCCCCTGGCGGCCTAGTTGAATGGTGTTTGCACTTGTAGGTAATGGAGGCCATTGGTGGTCACCTGTGGCCAGAGGGGCGACTCTGGGAGACAGATCTGACGTCCGCTGAACTGAAGTCGAGATCGAACTGGATCGTCAGAGAGTAGAACATTTGGAAGCCCGTACCTCTTCGCGGGAGAGGAGAGTGCCAATTTGAGGGATTTTCCACACTTCCCAGTTAGAAGGTAGTCCCTGGAAGCGGAGGGAAGAGTTGTGGTTGGCCTTTATGGACAATCACCCTCCCGGCTCCATCCGCCTCAGCTGCATTCCGGATAGTCCCGCGTGGAATTCTTGCTCCCCAACTTCGGACCTCCCTAGCGTTA